GCTTATAGACCTGGTTTATAGCTTACTGCTCCTGTTTTAAATCACACTATGAAATCACAGAGTAAGAGCTGCCAAGTACTCCTGTATTACTTGATGAGTAAAACATATATTCCAAGTAATTCACCTCAGAGACAAACATCAGCATCACCTCTCTAAAAAACTGACATAACTTTTAATGGGTACCAAGGGGCTCTGTAAGAAACACTTTGTTTTTCCCTTCACCAGAAGTTAGAAGTGCTATTGTATTGTGGTGGCAGACATGAAAAATAAACCCATCTTAACCATTCCCGGCATCTGTTACTATTCTAAGACACCAACCTGAGTCACAATAAGATGCTTAAAAACCAGCTAGCCAGAATTAAAAGTGATAATCTCAATCCATTTTAACATCTTCATAAGCAAGATTTAGGCCCATGGTTGAAAACTACTCAATTAACATTAAAAGAGCTTATACATAACTGTTGTATATACATTTTTAGTGGCACTCATTCACATACAACACTGAAAATTTCAAATGCTGAAAAATGCTGAATTGGATTAAAGATAACTTGTTCCATAACTGTACTCACAAGAACTAAGTTTACAACAGATGCAACATTTGTTCAAGAGCAAAACTGCACCCTTAGTTTGGATTAATTTGATAAATGAAGACAGCATTGTCAGCAAAAAGGTGATCCGATCTCTTCACCACATTTTCTTTTACTCTGAATTTATACAGCAACCTGACTTAAGTAAAATTGTTTTTTGAAGGAGTACTGATTTTCAGTTAAAGTAGGAAAATTCTGGGATTCACTGGCTTCCTCTAAACAGGCCCTTCCTGTAAAACAAAGAACCATCTCTATTAAAAAATTTCTTTCCTTGTCCTTTGCAATCCTTCTCAAATTTTCTTTTCTGGCTTGAAACTTGTAGTCTAATTTTCACACTTACAAACAAGGCTTTAATTTTCTATGCCTCAGAACTTCAATCTGTAACACAAAATAGGGTATTAAAGACACCTGATAAAGCCAGGAAAAAAAAAAAAATCAAACTGCATTACTTTTTGAACTTCATTACTTTGAAGCTTCAGCATAGGTTCCTTTTATATACACACAGTATGAAGTTCAGATGTGTTTTAGAGCACAAAGACTTGCATATAAATTTACTAAGCTATGAAATACTGACATAGGTATGAAATCTAGTAAGTTATTAAATGAAATTAGAACGCCTCTTCTGGAAATGGTGACACAATTGACATGTATTAGTTCAAAAGACAATGTGATTGAAGGACCAGACTCAGTATTTGTGCTTGTTAACATTGGTTCTTAAACAAGTTCATAGCAGTTCACAAAGCAAGGGATGTGCTTACAAAGTGTGATTGGGACAAAAGGGTCCACCAGCACTTAAGTCTCACACAGCCATCAATTATCAAATTGAGTGAAGAGACACCGCATCCACTCTCTTTTCTAAGACAACAGTTTATCACTGCGAAGCCTTCAAATATCGGGAAATTTAAGGCATCATCCTCTCAGCAGTACTGCACTTCAAGTTCTCAGGCTATGGTTTTTCTAACACTGGTATGTGCATTGAAGACAAGAACGCAGAGGTGCAAGACAAGGCTCCCCAAAGGTCAGAAAAGCTGCCTGACTCCAGACCCTCCCCACTATGATATAAGATTATTTCTGCCTGGGCAAAGTGTAAAATTCAGGTTTGGATGGATTAATTTAACACACAAATCACAAGCAACCTTTTAGCAAGCAAGCTACCAAAGCAGAAGCGAGAATAGTCTTGCCTACAAAAGTCCCACTACTATATCAGAGGAACTGAAAAGAAGACCAACTTCCCCATAGATAGAATTTGTTGATGTAGAGATGCGGGTGATGGCAGTTTCTCCTTCAAGAGCCATATACTAATCTAGGTCAGCATGAGGTACCTTTATACTGGGGTAATTTCACTCATGCCTTGGAAGAGTAGAGGGCTGAAAGGCATCAGTTACTTCTGAAAGTGAAGTGGGGGAATCACACCCCCAAACCAAAATATTAAGAGTTGGTAAGGTCATACACTGGCCAATATGCAAGCTCAGATCCTAGTCACACTGACAGACATTGCTTGACTTGTTTCTCAATATTCTAGACTTTAGCCCCGTCCTCAAGGATGTCTGATACTTAAAACAGTAAACAGGAAGTTCAGCATAAATGAGTGTTGAGCTGAACTTTGACCCTGTTATTTCTCCATTTTTATCAAAGCAGACTTATATATCACTGCTTCTCAGTAAAGGCTGACACTAAACCCTCAAGCAACACCACAGGTCAATAGGCATTCATGCTAAGAGGCTCCATTCATTTAGAGATTGTAATTCCACATGAGAACTCTCATCTTCTGAAATTCACTTCTCCAGTGTGCAACATTAATCAATTGTTGTGTGAATATTTTTTAATTTTAAAGCTATTTTTAATTTTAAAGGTATTTTTAAGCAACAGAAATCTACTTAGACTTTTCAAAGTTTTCTTTTGTGCAAGTATTAAATATTTCAAGACTCTAGTCAAAGGGAGTTTTAAATATAAATAGGTATAAGAAATGTTTCCTTTGTGACAGCATAATATTTTGCTATTTTACGAAGCAATTTTTATACTGTATGACTTTATATAGTTTCAACTGATGTTGAAAACCATCAGAGGGAGAAACCAGAATCAAAACAGAAGCTTTAGCTAAGAAGAAAGACTCCACAGAACAGAAGCAGATGATTCATGCCATAAGCAACTACGATGTAAATAATTAAACTTCAACAATCCTGAGAGGTGGCAAAGTATCACCACCCCTATTTAATATTAATCATGGTATTTATGTTCCACTACAGAATCATAATGTAATTACAAATTGCCAGACAGCAGCACTCGGTGCACATTTCGTAAGGCCTGAAGAGTTTGCCTGTCAGTTCTGCGTATTATGCTACCAATAAAGAGCAGCCTTCAGCCCTCCGCATGGTTAGATGTCTTATGCTAACCCTACATCTTTCATATGCCAGGCAGCATCGTTCAAATCTTTGATAAATACAAATCATACACACATATACACACGTCCCACCACATTCAGCAATACTAGTAAGTCTTTGGACAGGGAAAGCAAGGCTTTGAAGACCTGTGAATAGGACCCCTCTTTCCTGCAGCAGCCACTCTCAGCCAACGTTATTTTGCGTGAAGTATGAAGGGAAGAATACGTGGAAGAGACTGAATGGAGCAAGATGTGGCATCAACTTTACAATAGGATGTTACTGGGACTCTTCCCTCCCTGCTCTCAACATCTACCTACCTCCTAAAATCCAGACCTCAGGTACACAGCAGCTGTGCCACTTTGCTGGCAACTGGAAGGCACACATGCTGTCTCTGCCAATAGCTGAGAATAACCAGGTGGTATCACAACCCAGAGAGGGGATGAGGACAGAGGTGTAACAACACAGGGACAAAGGGTGGCTCAGAGCACAGCACAGAATTAGTATGACAACAGTGTGTAGCAACTGATGCACCAGAACAATTAGGCATCATGCTTAGAGTTACTACACTACCACAGGATTGATATCCTGGCCAGCACTGACCACATACTGCTGAAGGTATCTGTGGTATGTTACCAGAACGAGCTTCAGGGCTACTAGAGGAGTTAATGGAGGGATCCAAATCTCAAACCACTACCTGAGTGATTGAAAAGCATTACAGATGCTTTCAAGACACAGGAATTCCATGATTTATGCAGGGAAACCACTGGAAGAGAAGCACTCCCAAACCACTAACGCTGTTTGCAGAAGAGTATAATCTCAGTGCGTGGATTTCTCACTAAAATTGTTCCCAACTCATCTCTTGCATCTCTAGTGGCAAAGACCTTAATTCTAAAATTATTCTATAGTTATTCAGGATACTCTTACAAGGGTTATCTGTTTTCTTCATGTCTGTGCTCTGTGTAAGTGCAATCTTCCCATTTAGCTTATTCCATCATAAATTGATGTTTGTACAATGTTGAAACAGATGTTCAATCTACATCTCATCCAAGATACCTGTGAATTAAACACCTTCTCCTTCCCATCACTCCCTACATAGACCAGGGCATGAAATTCAGATGCAGGCTACAAGCCTGATTCTAACCAAACCAAGAGAATACTAGAGAAGTGTCTTCCCTCCTTACTGTGCCTCCCAGGAAGAGGAACCATTACCTCTCCTGCAAAAATCAGGTACAGTGCAGGTAAAGATGCAGACATTCCCTGACACATGCAAAGGAACTTTTGACTGTTTTTGTGAAAACCTATAAACAAGCAGGGTTTCCAGTTTTCTGCAAGGGGACCACACCAGCACTTGTAGCTAACATTGTGGAGCCTTCTGTCCACATGCCAACAAATCAAGAGAAGAATTGCTGGAGCAAGCAGAAAAACAAAGCTCAGGTTAGTAGCAGAAATCAGTTTCATATTTGAAACGAGCAAACAAAATTCACACAACTGCTATTCAAATACCATCAGTACATTTGGGAACACAGACTTTGGTGCAGAGCTAAAACAGAGCAGGCTGTCACTAAATAGTTGCAACTTAAGTAGAATACTCAAGACCTGGAATATTTTGCGGAAGGGACCAAGAATTGCAACGCCCAGAAATCTGTGTAAGCATACTACTGACTATATACTATACACAAAGCGTATGATAGGAGAAAATGCCCCCTGAGTCCCCACGGAAACTCCCTGCCCTAGTGTGACTCGGACCACCGGCTCGTCAGAACAGCTGCTATCGGCTGGGCTGCGGGCAAACCTTGCAGTGACAGAAACTGCACCGGCAGCACCTCCGAGCCCCACAGCGCGGTGGCGGGAGCCTTCCCGGGCGGACTTCCCCTCAGCTCGGCCCCGCACCGCGCTGGGGATCAGCCCCCAGCACCGCTCAGGAGCACCCGGAGTGGGAGCGGCGACCACCCACTTTATAAACAGCCTCTGGGTGAAGCGGAGCCGGGCAGACGCGGCGTGTGGGGCGGCAGGAGCGGCGGCGGGCTCCTACCTGCTGCCTGAGGTAGCGCGTGAGGTAAGGGGCGGGCGGCGGCGCGGCGCCCCGGCGGCGGGGGAGGGCGGGCAGGGCACCGGCCGTGCCGAGCAGCGGGAGAAGCAGGAGGAGCCGCTGCATCGCCGAGGAGGAGCAGGAGCCGCCCGCCGCGCCCCCGATTTATAGCGGCCCCGATGCTCCCCCCCGGAGTCGGTCCCGCGGGGAGCGGCGGGCGGCAGGACCCGGCGGAGGGGGCGGACCCGCCCCCGAGGGGGCGGGGTTACCGCATGTGGAGGGGGCGGGCCCTAAGTAGTGGGGATTTTGCGATTGGCTGCGGGGCCGAGGGCAGCTCGCGCGCGCGTTCACTGTTGGCTGCGGCGACTTGGCCGGGGGAGGGGGGCGGGGGGGGGGGTTGGGTCGCGCGGAGTCCTGCGAGGGAGCAGCGATTGGCTGCTCGGAGCACGTGATTCGCTCTGCTCGTCGCCCGGCGCCGCGTGGAGGGCGTGTGAGAACGAGGCTGGCGTCTTATTGGGCAGCGCGGGGCGGCCCTTGCCGCCGAGCTGCGTCGCGATTGGGTGATCGCCCCCCGTCCCCGCCCCCCCGCCGGTCAATCCACGCTTCCGGCTTCTGGGCTCCCTTCAGAGCCGGGGCGATAGTGGTGTGCTGCGGCCGGTGGTTTCCCGCGGCCCGGCTACGATAACGGCGCCCCCGTCCGTCCGTCCGTCCGTCCTTCCCTCCCGTGCGGCCCCAGCGAGGCGCCGCCGGCGGCTTCCCGTGTTCCCTTCCCCCGGTTACAGCGCGGGGCCGGGAGGCGTTGGTTCGATTTGGTCACGGAGCGCTGCAATAGCCACATCGGTAAGGGCGAGAGCACCGCAGGACCTGAAGCGTTTCCTGGGTGTCAGGATAAAGTGTAAAGCGCCCAGATCCGGCCTTGAGCGCCCGTGTGCCGCGCCCCGCTAGCTCGGCCTGGCGGCCTCCGGGGTCGCCTCGGGGCGGGAGCGGGGAGGAGGCCGTTGGTTAAGGGTGGAAATTGCGGCGTGAGACTTGTTAGCAACTCCTGTTTTTTTTTCTTAGGGCGAGTTTAAGGCGAGGAGCTCGCTAGAGGGCACCAGGCACCGGTGGAAATCTCGGTGAGACTTCAGGGCTGTTGAAACGTTACTGGAGGCTGGCAGTGGGGAGCACCCGTGCGATTCCCGGTATGTGGGTTCAGAGGTTTGGTTTGCTTTGTTTGTTAAAAAAAGATAAAGTAAAACACGTGTACTTATACTGTTCTTTTTAAACATGTCCAGATAACAAGTGTGGCAATTCCTAAAATGGGCCAAAACAAGTCAAAATCTGAAAAGGGATCAAAATCTAAAAAGGTAAAAGGGGAGGAAAAATAATTGCCAAATATTCCCCCAGGCGGTCCCCTTGGGACAATGCTTAAGCACTGGGTTTCCTGGCCATCTCAGGAAGGGAAAACTAAGGAAAAAATGGTCCATTACTGTATGGAAGTATGCTCGATCATCTATATTGGCTGATATTTGTATCCTTTGATGATTGGATTTGTCAGGCGTTGAATCTATACGTGAATAACAAAGAACCCTTTAGCCAGGAAGAGAGTGAATATGCTGCACTGTGGAAAGGGTCAGAAATGGGAAGATCGGTTTTGTTATTTCCTTTGAAAGCAAAGGAAGAAAAGGATTAAAACCAATAATTGACGATTTAATCCAAAAAGGGACTTTGGAGCCTTGTATGTCCCCACATAATACACCCATCCTTAAGAAGCCAGATGGTAGTTATCGGCTAGTTCAGGATTTGAGAGCTGTTAACCAGAGGACCATCACTAGGTTCCCAGTAGTGGCAAATTCATACACTTTATTAAATCAGGTATCCCCTGAACATATTTGGTACAGTGTAATAGATTTGAAGGATGCCTTTTGGGCTTGCCTGCTATCGGAAGCCAGTAGGGATTATTTCATCTTTGAGTGGGAAGATCTGGACACAGGCAGAAAACAACAGCTAAGGTAGACAGTAAGACCTCAAGATTTTACTGAATCTTCAAATTTGTTCGGACAGGCACTAGAAAAATTACTCACGCCCTTTGAAACTAAAGGTGAAGTGAAATTTCTACAATATGTAGATGATTTGTTAATAGCGGGGAAATCAGAAAAGGAGGTTCAGGAGAGCACCATAGATTTATTGAATTTTCTCAAAGAAAGGGGGCTGAAAGTGTCACGGACTAAATTGCAATTTGCTGAACCGGAGGTAAAATACTTAGGGCATTGGATCACTAAAGGGAAGAAGAAATTAGATCCAGACAGGATAGCCAGGATAGTTGCCTTGCCGGCTCCAAAAACAAAAAGGGAAATTTGACAATTATTAGGACTGTTAGGATATTGTAGACAGTGGATAGAGGGGTTCAGTGAGAAAGCAAGGTTTTTGTATGAAAAACTTACCTTGGATGTGATAAACTGGTTGTCACAAGATGATGAAAAATTCCAACGTCTTAAGGATGACCTGGTAACGGCTCCTGCATTGAGCCTCCCAGACCTAAATAAACCATTTCAACTCTTTGTAAACACCAGTAGTCACACTGCCTATGGAGTACTCACTCAGGATTGGGCTGGAAGTAAAAAGCCTGTGGGATATTTTTCAAAATTATTAGATCCGGTAAGCATAGGATGGCCAACATGTTTACAAGCAGTGGTGGCTGTGGCCTTGTTAGTCAAAGAAGCTAGGAAGGTTACATTTGGGAGATCTTTAGTAGTATATGCTCCTCATGACATTAGAGGAGTCCTCCAACAGAAAGCAGATAAATGGCTTACCGACAATAGATTATTGAAATACGAAGCTATTTTAAATCATTCCTCTGATTTAGACTTAAGAAAAAACTACAGCACAGAACCCAGCACAGTTTTTGTTTGGGGGAAGGGAGAAAGAGGCTTTAATACTCAGACATAACTGTATAGATTTAGGATTTGCAAACAAAAATTAGACCAGATTTAGAGGAAGAAGAATTGGAAGAAGGAGAGAAATTATTTATAGATGGATCTTCACGAGTGATTGAAGGAAAGAGAAAGTCAGGATATGCCATTGTAGATGGGAACAATCTTGAAGTAATAGAATCTGGGCCACTGAGTGCCAGCTGGTCAGCGCAGGCATGTGAATTATATGCCCTCTTGAGGGCATTGAAAAGATTGCAAAATAAGAAAGGGACGATTTTTACAGATTCAAAATATGCTTTTGGAATAGTCCACACATTTGGAAAAATATGGGAAGAAAGAGGTCTAATAAGTACCCAAGGAAAGGGATTAGTACATGAGGAACTAATAAAACAAATATTGCAGGCTATACAGGAACCTGAGGCGATAGCTATAACTCATGTTAAAGGACACCAAAAAGGGTTGCAATTTAGAGGAAATAATCATTCAGCAACCAGGACTAAAAGAGGAAAGCATGAAGGAACAAAAGGCTTATTCTGAACGTGAAATATTGGAATGTGAAAAGTCAGGAGCTAAGCAGAAAGACAACAAATGGATTTTGCCAGATGGTAGGGAAATGTTACCAAAATGATGTGCCAGAAGGATGTTGCAAAGATGACATCAACAAACACATTGGGGAGCTAGAGCTCTTATAGATCAATTCTTAAAATTTTATGGGTATATAGGAATTTTTGAAATTGCAAACCAAGAAGTGCGGGGTTGTTTGATTTGTCAGAAAATTAATAAACAAATGAGGCAAACACCAAAAGGAGGGTGGCCCTTGGCTCACTGACCTTTTGAAAGAATACAGGTAGATTTTACTGAATTACCAAAGGTGGGACGTTATAAGTATCTTTTGGTGATCATTGACCAATTAACCCACTGGGTTGAGGCATTCCCTACTACAAGGGCCACAGCTCAGACAGTAGCAAAGCAATTACTTGAGAATATCATTCCCCGCTATGGGATAATTAAGGTAATAGATTCAGATCGAGGATCTCATTTTACATCCAAAGTTCTTAACAGTATTGTATCAGCTTTGGGAATCCGGTGGGACTATCACACTCCCTGGCATCCCCAAAGTTCTGGAAGAGTGGAAAGAGTAAATCAGACTCTAAAACATCAGTTATCAAAGCTCATGATTGAGATGAGAATGTCATGGATAAAATGTCTTCCCCTGGCCTTGTTAAATATTACAACTATGCCAAATTCAGGAACTGGAATTTCACCTTTTGAAATGTTATATGGGATACCTTATACCCAAGGGTTGCCAATAGATCATCCTAAATTGGAGGATATGACTATTCAACATTATATCATAGAATTGAATAAAAATATGCAGAAGCTCAGGGCTAAAGGACTATTGGCCCAGAGCCCCCCCTTGGATTTTGCAATACACAAAATTCAGCCTGGAGACAAAGTGCTGGTAAAAAGCTGGAAAGAAGATAGCCTTAACCCCCAATGGGAAGGTCCATTTCTTGTTCTTTTAACTACAGAAATGGCGATAAGGATGGTTGAAAAGGGATGGACACGTGCATCAAGGATGAAGGGACCTATAAAGGAATGGAGGATTGTAACTGAACCTGGAAATACTAAACTTACCCTTAAAAGGACTTGGTGTGATGGCTGAGGGAAGTTCATATTGACTTCTGTAAAAAGATAAATTCTAACTGAACAGTGTACAGAGAGCAGACATTATCTTTTGGCTGAAGAAGCCTGCTTTTCCTCACCTTTTCCAAGCACTTGTTCGTGTTGGAAGTCCAGTATTGAGTAAAATAATTCCTCTCACTTATAAAGGAGAGGCGCACCTTGATAAAAGCTGGAGAGGGCAAGACCGGAGGGAATCAGTGCTGCAGCTGACAAGGTCTGCCAAGGGCTGCAACCCCTGGGGCGGTGACCACTGAGCATTATGATCCTGACCGGACCTCTCTTGATATGGATCCTGATTGGAACCCTGTGGGAAGGTGTGGACTCCTCTTCCGACCATTGTAGCGAGTGTATTGCTGTAACAATGCAAGGTGATACAGTTTCCCATACATTGATCTGCCATGCTCACTATGAATGTAAAGGTTAAATCATGGGAGACTGCATATATAATCAAACCAAAAATAAACTCTGTAAGGATCTTCCAACCAACAAGATCATTTGCTATGATCCTGAAATACTTCCAGCTCTGTATTGGATAGAATTAAAAGCAGAGACATACAAATACAGTGGATTGGAAACTTTGGCAGTAAGTAATCAGATCTATGATCCTAAATCCCCGGTATCAGTTATTTTTGATGTCTGCCAAGCGGTTGATAGGGACTATTACACTGACTGTGGAGGTATAAATCAGAGGAGACAATATGGAAAAATCAAGAAATACATGTGTATGAATCGTTCTTATCTTGCATCGGGGTCCACGGGAATCACCTGTGTGGAATGACATGGGAAGCTGTGTGTTGGGCAACTGCTGACTGGGGGTATGAATCTAACTGTAATCTGAAAGGCAAATTGGAAAAAATAAAGGCAAGCCCAAATTGTGGACTCCATAACTGTATGCTGGTCAATCTAACAATTATAGATTTTTCGTCTTGGAAAAATATTGAAAAAAAATGGAAAGGGATAACAGATTTCGGAATTAAGATATGGACCTCCGATTCTGATCCAGGAGCCATAGTCCATGTATTTTATCATCAGGAAGTGAGGCAAACTATACAACATCATTTGTTATTAAACTCGTTTTACCATGAACTGGAAACGGGAGTCTGATATGAAATTCCCACAGTTGCTAAAAATCTGTTTGTGAACCTTGCTGAAAATATAGCAAAAGTGCTAAGAGTAACTGTTATGTGTGTGGAGGGACAAATCTGGGAGAACACTGGCCTTGGGAAGCCTTAGAGACCAATATAACTGACCCTCAGATCTGGAAGGTAGTCAAGATAGACAACAGTGGATTTTACAAACTAACCTAATAGGGAGAAGCTGCTTCCAACATTTAGCCAAGGAAAGGGAACCAGTGGGAAATTTAATTTGTGAAGGAGGTTATATATGGAATAAAACGAGAAAGGATTGGGATAAATGGGGAAATCCAATGAAAATAAATCCACAAGTGGCCAACTGGACAAATGGTAAAGATATACCTAATGGTTGGCCTGCACCGGAGGGACACTATTGGATTTGTGGAAAATTAGCCTTCGCATCTTTATCAAAGAATTGGGTTGGGTCATGTATAGTAGGTACAATAAGACCTAGCTGCTTCTTGTTGCCAGTAGGTAAAGGAGAACGATTGGGGGTTCCTGTGTATACAGATTCTGATAAGTTGAGGAGATACAAGAGAGATTTACAAATTGGGAATTTGAAAGATAATGAATGGCCTCCAGAGAGAATAATAGCCTATTATGATGCAGCGTCTTGGGCAGAGGATGGATCTTGGGTCTACCGAACTGTGATATATGTTAAACAGGATTATACAGCTACAAGCAGTAGTTGAAACAGTAGTGAACAAAACTGGAGATGCTTTAAGCCTACTTGCAAAACAAAATACAAGAATGAGAACTGCAATATACCAAAATCATTTAACATTGGACTACCTGTTGGCACAAGAAGGGGGAGTTTGTGGGAAACTTAACCTCATCAATTGTTGTATACAAATAGATGGCGAAGGAAGGGCTGTAGATGAACTGGTTAGAGAAATGAAGAAAGTAGCTCATGTCCCAGTGCAAATGTGGAATGGATTTAACATCGGAAATTTAGGATCATGGATGTCATTCTTTAGTGGTGATTGGTTTACTAAAGTGGGTATTGTACTCCTGGGGATATTTGGAGGGTTGTTAATTATCCCTTGTATAATACCATGTTTTATTCGATTAATACAATCAGTGGTGCAGGGTATGCAATTGGAAATAAAGAATGATAAAACACCATTACTGGTATTGGAAACTAAAACTACCCCAAATTTAACTGCAGCACGGAAAGCTGTTACCGAATTGGAAACCACAACACGAATCAATGAGATGAACAAAAACAAAGGGGGGAATAGTGGAAAACATAGGCATGATTCGTGTCAAGATAGAGTATGGTGTGATAAGTGTAATTGTTGTACCCTGTGTGTATCTGAGGTGATTTGTGATCACTATGACCTGTATAATAATTGTAGTGAATGTTGGAATCAAATCGAGAATGTGTAGGAATATAGGGTATGCTTCTTGTTTGGAACAATGTAACCGCCTTTTACCTAGACCAAACGTAAACACTCTTTAGAAAACCCTCCCCTAGAGCTGATGCAATAGCAGCTTAGAAAAAGCCCCAGGAAAGATGAAACCCTGGGACTTTCAAAAGATCCAATAGGAGGAAAGCACACCAAGAGGTAGAAACCTTCAAACTTTCAAAAGATCCACTGGGAGGAGGACACTACCCCAGCAATTCAGATGACCCAGTGGAAGAAGAGCAGGACAACTATCTGATGGAAAGAGATTGGTCAAGACACTGGTGAAAGAGTGTAAGAGACACTGCTGTTAGAACTCGGTGTGCGTGTGGCAGAGCTGAGACTCTCTGCGCACCCGGCGCTGCTTTGCCTATTGCTTCTCACCCTAAATTGGTTGGACCCAAGTAAAATTATTTGCCTTTTATAAAGATTGGCTTCAGTCATTTGTATCACAAGTACAACATTTCTACCAAAGAGAAATAGAGGTGTAGATCTTGGGTCTGTTTGCTCTAAAGGGAACTCTCACCAGGACCTGTGTGAATACTTACATGCTATGCTTTATCTCCTGTATTCCAATTAAACAGTTGAAGTATTCGCAATGTTTTCCGAGGTGTGAATGTTTGTTTTATTTCATTAAAAACCACAGATGACAGTGTACTTTGTTTATGTAGTTCTGAGTTGAAAAACATTTGGAATGTGAAAGCACCTGCTGGTTTCTCCAAATCCACCTTCTTGGGCAACAGCAAAATCAGACTTAATTTTATTACTTCTTTTCTATATACTGATATGTTTTCCATGTACCCCTTACTGATATCTTAAACTGTAACTAAAACAAAATAGATCTGCTCTGGCAAGAATTGAAGGCATTCACCATTTAATATATTAGGTCAAATGACTCTTATATGCGTTCTGAAGAGAGATTTTTTTTTTCATTTTGGTTGGCCCTCCAGTAAAGCTTTTACCTTTCCCTGCCTCTGTTTTCCTGGCCTTTCTGCCATAGGGATTACTGGGATGTCTGATATTTTTTTTTTTTTTTTCTTTTCTGAACTACTGAGTAATGAGTTTAGTCACTCACATTTTTCTAGTACTCATGTTATAGGTCTTTTTTTTACCAGAATGCTGAGAACAGAGCCTCCTAAGGACAAAGGGGTAGCCTGTAAGTTGAACTTTTTTTTTTTTTGTGGCAAAATGCAAACAAAACATGATTGTTGATTATTGAATAGTTTTTAACATGTAAAAGCCATACTTGAGTCTCTTTTTTCTCCTTGGCCTTCTCCTCCCTAAAGGGGTTCTGGGATGAAGATGTAGATTCTCTTTCTATTCTGAGTTTATTTTGCAGTTTTGATTGAAAAGAGATGTATATTTAGCAACTGTGATAAAAGTACTTTTGCAAAGCAGGATTGCTAAGGTGTCCTTTAGTTCAGCTGTAGAGAACATTTTGGTTAAGTTGAAACTACGATTTGAAGTGCTTTAGGGTATTTTTGTTTACATGTTTCTAGTATCTCCTGAGAGAAAAGTTACGCTCTCTAAAATAGGGGATGTTTCCTAAAAATTGGTATTTTTGGACAGTATAATAATAATAGAGGCAAGATAGTTTTGTAGGAAAGTATTACTGAATATAAATAAATCAGTTCTATTTATTTAAATGTTTAGTTCATCGTTTATTCGTCAGATCCATATAGTTTCTGTTGAATCAATGGTAACTACTGTAGAGATGTCCCTTTGGCTCAAAGAGCATGAATACAGTTGCAATTGCAAGCCCTCTTGAGATTTTTCTGGTCATCCTCTCCTTTCAAAGTCATTGGTATTGAAGGCATTTGCAGAGTTACAAGTATAGAATCATTTCGGGTTTTAACTCCATGTTGTGACTTCATTCTAAAGGAAAAAAGCAGAAACAGATTTGCTGCAGTGCTGTGCTCAAAGATGATAGAGATGATAGTTCTAATAAAGATTCCCTAAGTACGAGTGGGAATTTGCATGATTTATCTGCAATGGTGTACAAATATCACAAATACTTGGAATCATAGAACCATTTAGGTTGGAGTCTGTTACCTCACTGCCAAGTCCACCACTAAACCATGTCCCTACGCACCACATCTACAGGTCTTAAATACCTCCAGGAACAGTGACTCAACCACTTCCCTGGCCAGCCTGTTGCTTCTTATTGCATATTTTCATCTTTTTTTTTTCTTTCTTTCTTTTTAAAGGATTAGTTAAGGGTGATAATAGATGTTGCCTCAGTTGGGCTACTATTTTCAGACAGAGATCATAATTTCCTGAGGGCTGCCTTTCAAAATGTTCAAAATACCCAGCTAAAAGCAGTTGATGTTAACATCTCAAAAAATGAGAGCTCTTTTGAACCATTTTGACTTTGTTTCAGGTGATACTGTGAGCACATGAATAGTGTGAGAGGACTCTTGGCTGCCTCTGTAATTTCCATCCAGAACTCCTGCTTCATCTACCCTGCCTGCCAAAAATGCTTTTCGAGGCTGATTCTGGATTCTAGGAGGTACATCCTGTTTTGGGGATCATTAACTGTAACTGTCACAGCCTTGGGAATCTCTGTTAGCTGAACACAAGTTATAACAAATTAGTGAAAATCTAGCCATAGTAGAAATAAGTGCTAATTTCAGACATTTATGTTACTTATCACTATTTAAATCTCTTTATATTGCAGCAGCAGCTTGGAGGTAGTTATGAATCAAGAACTCTGTTGTGTTCAGTGCCACGCAGTATCGGCCAGTTTAGGAGAATAAATTCCCTGTGCTAGCTTCAGGTGTATTCCTGCAGTCCAGTTCTTCAGTGCTGTTCCTGAATTGGAAAGCATTGCTTGAAAGCACCTCCAAATCAAGTCCTATTTTTTTAAAATTTATTCTAATTTTATATGTGCAATGCATCGGGTAGTCCTCTATGACTCTTCCACTTACTGTGTGTCCAGAAACATGAGTTGTCCTTTTTATTCCCATTGTTATGTGAAATCTATGACACACAGAAGAACAGTAAATCAATGAATGTCAGCACTAAATGGAAGGAGCTGACATTGCAAAGCAGGAATGCTTGAAATGCTGAAGTAAAAGATAAGTGATGTTTCCCGATGAATTTTTTTTTTTTTTTTTTTTTTTTTTTTAATATAAGCTTTATACTAAAGCTACAGGAATTAAAATCCCAAACTGGAACAAACTTTAAAAATGGGGGTGCAGGGAATTCCAAGATTCCTTCCCAACAGGTCATTCAAAGCCCACTGTCTCCAATTTCACAACAGGCTAGCATTTAATAAATCAGTAAAAGAAGCCAAAGGCATTTTGTCATGATACAGACACTTTGCTGAGCTTGTGGTAAGATTAGTGCCTCAAGCAGTAAAAAATAAATAATCTTATAGTTTGTAATGGAGTATTTGATGTTATAGTAGTAATACTTACAGCTGCCATTAAGTTTCTACCTCAGCCGTGATTAACAGAAGTTCTCATATTCGATCTTTTTTATCCCTTTACTGTCTTGTCAGGTTTAACTGTCTAAAATGTGGCTGCACAGGTGAAGCTAAAGATGCAAGCTACAGATATAGATTGTCCTTAAAGGTTGCTGACACTAATGATTTGTTTGAGATTACGGTGTTTGGAAGTTGCTTGGATCCATTCTTTGGGGTCACCGCAGAAAATCTGCAGAGGTATGGAGTGGATTGTTTCCAACTATATAGCTGCTGCTTTTCCTTCAGTTTAAAAAAAGTTAGATGAGCTTGGATGGTGGGGAGACGAGTGGGAAGAAGCTGCTAAAGTGCTCACTTCCAGCATTTCTGTGGTACCCATCACCTTGAGAAAATGCTGAAGCTTGGTTTCTTCTTGAAATCTTGACATCTTGGGATGGATTACTTCTAAGAGATCCTCCACTTGTCTATTGAAGGCAACTACCACCTGCTAAGTGAGCTTCACAGTTTGGTTGGTTGGGCTTCCTCCTTGTGTTCTTCCTTTGAGATGATTTAATTTTCTTTGTCTAATGGCACATTACTGAGTAAGTTGGCTTTTTCAGAGACTTAGACGTAATTTTTCTGCAAGGTTTTAGAAGAGTCTTAAGGTAAAGATAGAGCCTCTGTTTTGTTTTTTTTTTAACAATTTGGATTTGAGGGAAGAAAAAAAAATGTGCACTTTACAACTGGTCTTCAATGTGACCAGATTTTCCTTTAGGAAGGAAAGATTTCGAAGAAAAGCTTTTAGTCCTCAAAGCCTGACTACCTACATTATAAGTCTCAGACTTTTTGATATGTGAAACTGCTAGGATGGGATATTTGGATATGTTCACTGCTTGTTTTTCAATTCTGTCATTTTCCAATGCCTTGTGGTATCACTGGGTCAAAGATGAACACCTTTAAATCCCATATTAGCAGCATTAATAACATTCACATGGCAGACATTCTACACCAGACTGATGTACTACTGACAACTGTGAAAAAGTTATTTGCATGTCTTAATATAGGTGCTGCTGTCGCTGTAAAGATGCGGGCAGAAAGGATGTGTAAGCAATAGCAGTATATTGACAGCATCGTACAGTCATTGTGTTGATACAAAAATCACAGCCATACAGGGAACAGTCAAAAGTTATGTGTATATTAAACCTATTCAAACTGGTTATTTTATTTACTTCTATTTCACTATCAAAGTGAAGTAAACAAATGAATTTACAGGTTCATGATTTCCTGTTTTCATTCTATGTTTAGTTTAAGCTACCACAGTATCTCGTCTTTAGCATGTGTGCTACCTATATTACAGCTAAAATGCTACGTAAGGCTGCTTCTGTTGGTCCAATACTTCTATGTTTTTTTCTCAAGGTGTATTCAAGACTTCAGTCAGCTGTCAGGAGAAACAAACACAGATGCATCTCCAGGAGTGTTAGTTCAAGCAGTGGAAACCTGTTTCATTGGAAAAAGATTTATATTTGGAGTGAAGGTAACTTTTAATTCACATTACTCTCTTACAATTAGTTTTTTCATTAGTTTATAGCCAGTTGGGGGCATAGACTGAGTTGTCAAAGCATCATGTACAAAATCTTTTGGGAATTTGTGAAAATTTTTAGGACTAGGACATGGGAAGGATTCTGTTCCTCTTCCCCCAGACTCCTGCGTTACTTTAAATGAGTCACATCCAAAAGCCATCTTGAATGGCAGCAGTCCTCTTGACAGCTTGTCAGGGCTGCTTTTCAGAGAGCCTGAGGAGTGCCAGCTCCTGTGCATGACAGTAACAGCTTGGAGTCAGTAAAAAAACCCATGTACAGTTCAAGCAAGAAACAGACTGTCTTTTCAAGCACTGCCCTACCTTTCCCATCCTGCAGCCTCCTGGTGTCTGAAATGTAAGGAGAAACACATCCCCTTGCAACATTTTAGTATTTCTGGATTTAAGAGCATGTTTAAAAATGTTGATAAAGTACAGCTGTTCAGCATATGCATCTGTGGCTCTTTTATGTGTTTAACAGACTTTGAAATATTAGTTCTTAGTAATATTTCCATAGAAACAGTCTTCTAAGTTCTCTTCAAGTGGTGCTTGTGTGAGTCACTTGTATTATGGAATCTGTGAACTAAATCCTACCTGGCAGGTGTTTTTCCTCTCCCACAGGTACCATGAGGTTTGTATCTGAGCTGAGATAATGCACAGCATCATAAGTAATGGAAGCTGGAGAACTTCATGGATTAACTTAACTGGAACCATTCACCAGTGTCTAGGCCTTTACAAATATAAGTAATCCTACATATCAACAGCCTAGTGGCTGCTCCTGCACATACAAGGACTGAACACACATTTGAAGACCATTTGTTCAGCCTTTGGCTGTAGACAGGTCTGTATAGCTGTGTTCAGCTATGCGTACAGTTGCACTCTCCCACACAAAACTCAGAGTCAACATCATGTACTTTAAGACTTACCTGGAAGGGTACTGTCCTTGGCTAACAGCCTTCAGCCTCAACCTTTGCACAGACATAGGGAGTAAGAGGATCGTTGAATTTGAAGACGGCTCTATTTGGTTTTTGGCCTCTCTGGCATTGCCAGACCTTAAGAGGGAGATGAAAAAGGGTTTATCTGCTTCCTAAAACATCAGATAATTCCCTCTGCTTGTAATACAATTTTTCACCTATAATTTCTGTGTAGAGAAAAGCAGGCTCTGTAAAGAGTTGCATCTGAAGCTCCTTTGAAACACTACTCTCCAAATAAATCAGAGAAAATAAAGATTGTAGCTTATTTACCTTTCACAGAGGTAGCGCATAGAAAATATCATGCTGGCTTTGATAGCTGAGCTGCCAAGTCAGGTATCTGGTATCAGAGTGCTTTGCTTGAAGTACTGCCCCGTGCATCCTAGATAAAAGAAAAAGCATTGGCCTTAGGCAGCTAGCCATTTGTACAGAACTGCACTGGAGGAAGCCTGGAAGCACTCAGTGCCCTAGAGGGAGGAAAAAATTTTCTCTGAAGTTGTTTCTTAGAGTTCTTCCTTGTTTTCTTAGCTCCAAAACTGCGTAATTGCAACAAGCAAAGAACTTCTCACTGTGGTGCCCTTTATAGCCCTTGCCAGTGTTTATTTCCCAGGGAGTACTGCTTTGTGTGACAGACTGTTTTGTATTCTCTTCCTTGCAGATCCGGACAAAAAGTGAGAGCTAAACTTAAGCCTGACTTAAAAGGCATGAGTTAATTTTTTTTTCTATCACAAAATAAAGCATTGTATTAAGTTGGGTGTTTTTTTTTTTTTTTTTTTTTTTTCCTTTTCCCCTCAGGGTTGTTCAAGGGAAGATGGAGGGCATTCTGCTGCCAGCAGCATCTTGCAAAACTGTTCCAGAATTAATAGGAGTACAAAAACCTTACGGCTTGCCAGATCTTCCTGCCAAACGCTGCTGTTACTGGCTTTACTGTTATCAGCTACTGCCATTGGCTCCTGCAGTCGGCAAAATTCAAGAGCTGTAATAACAGCTTATACTTACCTGATGCATCTTCAGCTCCAATAGATGAACCTGTCAGTGAGCTCAGCAGCTTGTCTAGCCTGAGCAGAAACTCCTGGTTTTTTCAGTCTAGTGGCAGAGAAAGTTTTTTAGGGTCCTGGCAGCAGTCCTTCAGCCTGACTTCATCTGTTGCTTGGGTAACAGCGGAAGACTTTCCCACTCTGGAAGCAGGAAAGCTGGTGAGTGAACAGCATGAACAAGAGGGGAGGCCTGTCTCAGCAGAATCATGTAGTGTAAGCCTCAACAATGAAACTCTTTGGGATTCACAGTTTTGCAGCTCTTCTGTGAAGGGAGGGAATAAGGAGGAGGATAATGAATTTTGTTCACAGCCTAGTCAGACTAACAGTATTGCTGTAACTGATAAATTAGAGAGGGTATCCTCTTCAAAGACTGAGTGTTTACATGGAAACAGTTCCAAGTGGTTACAACATCCCTTGGAATTAGGGGCAAAAAGCATTTACCCAAAGACTAATAGTAGAAATTATTCTTACCCAGAAAAATCCCACAGCTCCCTTTTTTACAAGAGAGATGCTTCAGCATCTAATCCCATAAGTGTAGCTGTAGTGTCTCAGATAGACTCTATGCTTTGGGATGAACTTCCATTCTCAGAAAGCCTAAATGAATTTTTAGCCAGATTAGAAGATGGCAAGAGTGCTGTAACGTCATTCAGCCTTGATGCAGACAAACAGGCTCTTCCTAAAAGTAGCAGCTTGGGTGTAAATCTTAACAAATCATATCCCAGGCAAACCCTAGTAGTCAGTGATTTGCCTGAAGGGAAAGTCTCAGGGAGGCTCATTCCACCAGTGGAGAATGATAGTTGGGAGAACGCATTGTTTGCTTATCTTCAGTCAAATGCAAATCTGAGTGATGAGGTGTCACTTGAAGATAAAACACTAGAGGAATATACTGCTGAACATGGAGAAACCTCCTGTTTAAAAAAGAGCAAGGCAGCTACCTGTGTGCATTGTGCACATGATAGTTGTTTACCTGGTTGTGAAAATAAAGAAAATTCTTCTTCTACACCAAGCCAAAGAACAGATCTTATATTCACAGGGGCATGGGACTCTGATCCAACAACTCCCAACAATACAAGAATATATAAAAGAGAATTAAAACCATTGACCGAGCTGTCAGAAAATACCTTAAAAAGTGTTAATGGGAGAGAGATGATGTGGAACGGTATCTTCCCTGAAGGCAGTTACAATGCTTCTGCTGATCTCTTTGATGAAAGTGCAAGAGCAGTAGCAAAATCTGTAGAATTCTTAAATAAATCGTGTCATTCTTTAATACAGGAAGATACTTTGACAGAAGAGGTTACAGCTCCTGATTTGGTGCTTTGTCCTGGGGATGTTCCCAGTAATGGTTCAAAACCCAGCTCATCCCTGCATAGGTCACCTCCTGCTTGTAGTAAGCACAGTACACCAATAATGTTCTCCTTTTCCGATTCAGAATGCAATTCAGTTAGTGCTCAAGACTTTGTTCCTTATTCACAGTCGACTCCTATGGCAAAACCTCTCCAGAAACTGTGGTTTGTTGGGGAAAGAAGCCCTTTTGTCACTATCTTCACCCCTAAAAATCACGCTAAAATCCATTCCAAATGCAAGCGATCTAGATCTTCCTTTCAAAACACTCTGCTGCAGCAGCTTACTGGCAGGTTAGTGAAACGTGAAAGGACAAGTAACCAAGAAGACAAAGTAAGCAATAGCTCTGTTTCACAGCAGTTCATTAACAGACAACCACCTGCCAGTTTTGAGGAGTGGATCCTTCCATCTGCAAACAAAAGGTTGAAACCAACTCCATCTTTAAAATCGGTTATCTGGGCTACTGACTTGCAGTTGACTCGTGGGCACACTGAGAGGAACCCGGTTTCTGAAAGTGAAGAGAACAGTGAGAATAATTTATGCTTCCAAAAGGAGACATTAAACCCTGGGGATACAGCAAGGATTCCAGCTACTCCTGTATCTGCAGGTGTCACCAGGGCCTTGTTTTTAAACGATACAGTCCTGGAAACACGTTCCCCTTCAGAAGGCAGGAATCTCTTCTCAAGTGCACGTTATTCAGGGGGTGTATCAGAACATGCAACTGGCTGGTCTCCTGAGTTGTTCTTCTAAGCACGGACCCCTTTTTCCAGTAAGCCAAAACACTAAAAAAAAAGCCATTTCTATGCTGTGTGGTTTTTTGTTTATTTTTTTTGTTGTTTTTTTTGTTTGTTTGTTTGTTTTGTTTTGTTGTTTTTTTTTTTAATTAGACTTTTGGGAAGGAACCAGTAGAAGAAAAGAGCTATTTTAACAATTAAATTTTCTATATTAATATTGGCATATGCCCTCCTATGAGATGACTTATGTTTATTTGCACATCTTTATACCAGACATAGGGGCGGAAACAGAATTTGCAGTTACTATATTTTATTGTAAATGAACTTTAGAATGTGCAATAAAAGCTTTTGTAAATCTCAGAATATTTGATAGATCTCACTTTATCAAGTACAGGTGGGTGGAGTGTTTTCACATTCGGTGTTGTCTTTCATCACAAGAAGAGCCCTGGAGTCCATGTCAACTTTAGATTATTGCCTGATGATTCTCTGTGGACAAGGACCAAATTTTCATCAAAGCATTTCAGATACCATCTGGGAGCCTTGTATTTGAGTCCCCTTGGGATCCTGTGACAGAGTTGAATTGGGTAGAAGGAACCATCCTGAGAGGTTGGTAGCAGCTCTGAGTTTTCCTGTTGGCTTTTTCAGGTTAAAGACCACTATTGGCAGATTCCTGGCAGTTCCTTTCCTGACATTGGAAACGGATCATTGAATAGGAAATCTTGGAGCTGCTGCTGCAAGCTTGTAGGTCAGGTCCTGCAGAAGGATGTGATGGCACTGGATCTCACCAGCCTGAAACTGCTGACTTGTAGAACGAGAGGCGGGCCTAAAATTATCTGTTGTGATTTTTTTTTTTCTTTTTTGAGGTGTAGAACAAATATGCACCATTTACATTGTGACTGGTGACAAGAAGAGTTTACTTGGTTCATTCTCTGACATAAGATAGACATTACTACATTTCTGTGTTTGAGGCCTCACTTAATTTCTAACGTACCTACTTAAGCCCTTGACTCTTGTGTTCAGAAGAGTTTTGGGTCTTCATGCAAGGATCAGATTGTATCAATACTAATAAATAAAGCACTTTATTTTCAGGTTATAAAGACACCACCTCTGCCTTAAGAAATCCGAGAGGCAAAATTTACTGGAAGTTAGAAGAGCATTGTGGGAATGTATCATTTTGTACTCCTCTTGTTTCTATGTACTTTACTTACTATCTGCTGTTAGTCACTGTTGGAGTTGGGGCTAGAAGGGTTTCTTGTGTGACTCTGAAAGGCTTCTCTAACCTCACCTTCACTTGGTCTCACCATAGGTACATCACTGGGGCAGGCAGCCCAGCATGTTAAGGCAGGACCTAAGACAGCCAATGGAAACCATGTTTGGGAGGGAGGGAGGGATGGAAAAAAAAATAGACTTTGGAATCTGAGCTGTAAGCTTTGTGTGCCTTCATATCTCTTCTATAAAATAATTATGTAACTGCTCATTCTTTTCAGGACACTTGTGGAAGTATGAGGGCATTTACTCTCACCCCCTTGTCCCTTATCCACTACTTTTAGTATGGCTCGCCCTTACAGAACGTACAGGTAAACCTTTTCAGTTTCGTGGTCTCTACCCTACATTCTAATCAAATGCATGTCTCATTGCAGAGTAGGAAGGCAAAGAGTATTTGAAATCAAACAAGCTGCCTCTGCAGCTGAGCAGGGTATTAATGAGATACAGCCTTTCCTACCAAGGGTATGAGTGTGCTGAGTCTGCAGGCTGAGCAAAGAAAACAGTTCTTCATGGCTACACAGCAAGTCTGCACAGGTAAATTCATGTCACAAAGTTTTTCCATAGCAGTCAGTGTTGTGGGTTTTTTTCCCACTACCTACAGTTGAGGAAATTGAGGCATGGGTTCAAAGAATTGCCCAGCATTAGGAGAGTATGGAGCCTAGCTCTGGATATCACTGAATGACCTCAACCAGCAAACCATCTTTTCTCCTTGCTCCCCTACCCAGCAAGATACTCAAGCACAACCCAAAAGTTCTTCCCAACGTTTAAGGATGCTGCAGCAATAGGTGAGGCTGGCAAGAGGCTCGGGGTTTCTTCTTGTATGTCTGAGCCTAGATTCCTGCAGTCCCTGGATCCTAGACGTAAACAGAAGAAAAAAGGAACAACCAGTTAGAGCCAAAAAAGCCGGGGTTGGGGGGGAGCAGGGAGAAGAAAACAGAATTAAACATAATTTGATGACCAGGGTAACTTCAAGGATCGTACCTGTGAGCGGAGTCACTTGTGAAGTGCTGTGCCAGTGTGACCCACGTAAACCACTGTTGCAGAACGTGGCAATGCTGTGCTGTCAGGGATACACAGATCCCGATGCAGGGCTTCTTGGCATAGCCAAAGGGACAGGGTGATAGTAGAAAAAGACATAAAGCCTCTAAAAGCTGTTGAGGGCTTGCCCAGCTGAGCTTCAGCCCTGCACTTGACAGCAAATGAGCGCACCAGAACCGCACCAGGGTTGCTTCAGTCAGGATAGTGCAGGGCCCCAAGCAAACAAGCCTGTGCTTGTGCCTGCATTTACCAATGCTGTGCCTATTCAAAAGATTTTATTTACTGCAAATAAAATCCTCCTTGATGAATCTATGTTGGGGCAAGTTGAAAAGGAGTAAGAAATGTAGCCTGCCTGGAAATGGTAAATCTGCATTGATAGCTTATGTAGAACAAATAAAGGGAAAGATAGCAGTACTCACCCAAATCACTGAGCACAGGCAAGGCAGTGTTGAAAGGGTGTTAAGACATCAGTACTCAAACAAATGAAGCTTGACACTACTTGTTTCTACTACAGCCTCCCACATAATAAAAGACTGCAGTATCACTGAGTCTTTAAGCACCCCCTTGTGATAAACTGGACAAACATCTGGTTTATCATGGATGTTAGACCATGATCCAAGTGACACACCAGAGACTTGATGTGGCTAGCAATGAAACACTGCCAGAACTTCTATATCATACACCTGGCAGCATCTTGACAGGAAATGTTTTTTTCTAGCATGAGTGATTTTATTCAGCAGAGAATTTATCCACATGCTATGGTAGGTGATGACTTTGGTGCAAGCTGATGTGATTATAATTAGAATCTTGTAGAAAAAGAATAAAGCTCAGCATGTTTAATTCTGAAGGTAATAAAACTCCTGAAAATGCATACTAGGTTTGTGGTTGATTCCCTATGCATAGAAATCCATAAATCAAGACTAGATTTTAAATTAGGTAGGACTGTCTCTACGATACCATCGAAATTAATGCAGGGCAGTCAGATCTCCTGTGCTTTCTGGAAGAGGACTGCACAAATAGACCAAAAAGTACTGTTGTGTGACAGGCCCCTGTCAGCAAGATGACATGTTCTGGGCAGAGCTCCCCAAGGGCTCGGTAGGAAGACTGTACATGAGAAGATGGAGAAGAGGCAGTAAGCTGTCTTGTTTTTGCTCCTGTAGTGTGTCAGTCGTGCAATTCTTCCTCTGGGCAGTTTGTTCCTTTTTTGCAGGGAGCTTTCATGTTCCTACAATACTTTTACCCACAGCAAAGCCTGGCACAGGCTGTGCCCTTGCTGCTGTACCTGCTGAACAAGAAGGGGGAGGTTGCACATCCCATCAGTTACATGCTCCTCCCAAGTAAGAACTGCCACTTCACCTGCCCCTTACCTTTCCCCAGGAAGCACTTGGACTGGCTTCTCCAGCCATTACCCCCACAGGCAACACACTCCAACCCTTCTCTCTTCCAGTAACTACTCAATTCCCAAGCTCTCTGAGCTTTAAGGATGTTTTCTTCCCACCCGCTCTGCCCTATTCCTACCTAGAAAAATACAGGGACTTTTCCCTCTCCAAATACTTCTCTGTTTTATCACTGACTCAAATTGCCAGCTTCCTGGGGAACACAGAGCAGATGGTCTAGCCCTCATGTCAGACATTTACCAAGGAAGGAGCTTCAAGGTCAGTGGAAGCGGCAATAAAAGACACATGGTGTCTTCAAGCTTCACAGCTCATTTCTCACTCTTGGTGTTAGCAGAAGTCATCTCTGATGTGGAGCAGAGCACTGGAGAGAAAACTTGATCCCCAGAATGATTCAGAGCACAGAACTGTATATTGACCGAAAGGCTTCAAATGGGAGATATTGTCCAAAAAGATTCTAGGCCCTCAGAAAGGCAGGTCATTAGGGAAGTCCAGTGGAGTTGTGTGAGCATGAAAAGAGCAAGGTGTAGGTTGAAGAGAAGAACTAGAATTTAAAAAAGGGGCACCGGGACAAATAAAAGACAACTGAAGCATCCAACTACCATCTTCATCCAATGCAAACCTAGCGTCTTGCTAGGACGAGAGTTTAACCAGCTACAGGTTTGCAGTGATGGTGAAGATGGTACCTCTGTCGAAGACCACCCTCTAGTGACTGATGCCGGCATTTCTTTGACATTGCAAACTTCACTATGATCTCTCATTTTAAGTAAAATTTTTCCTCTGTTCTATTGCAAAGGGACATTGCTCCCATGGACAGCAGCTCTACTTTTGCTCTTCTTGTGAGGTCCCAATGCTGTGAGAGCCTTGGTATGCTCAAGCCAAGCAGAAAATCCTTAGCAGCCACTCATTTGTTGGTCTGATATTAAATCATGTCAAGTGAATGCCTTGTACATATTTTTAAGGCAACTTTGCTTTGCAGTTCAAATAAAAAACCAAACAAATCAAACACTTTAAACACCAAGTGGAAAGGATTAAACATTTATTTACATACAGATACATATGTAAGCAATTTCTAAGTATAAAAAGGACATTACAAATAAACATGAAGCATCATACATTCATCATCCTGGATCATCCAAAATACATTCCTTTCTTAACCCCACTGTACCACACTTGACCACAAGAACTTAAAAAACAAACAAGCCAAATGCTTCTGACAGTCAATGATTCACAGTTTGGCGATTTGCTAACACCTATACCCTTCCCAAAGACAGCACGACCCCAGCAACGAGATCAATGATCTGGCCAGCTGTAGTGCATTTTCTCCACTGAAATGGTTGTGCTTGAGCAACAAGAAACACATCCTCTCCTCAACCTTCCGACCACATGTTTAGGAATCAGGATTCTTGCTAAAATTCTGTACATTGTGCTAAATTCACAATTGTCGGGGAAAAGACAGCAGACCTTTGTGGGAAAAACTCCAACCCAGGAAATTCCTTTAATGCTGTGACTTCTCTGGCATGGAAGTTGCAAACAAAGTGCTGCTTTTAGTACTTAAACAGGTTTTTAAATTACAATTCAAACTACAGTTGATGTTATAAAACATACTTTGTTCATGCTGTAAAAAAAAATTACGTGCTTCAGTATTGATTTGCTAGTAGTCAA